ATCTATCGGGAAGTAAGCTCCGAGGATGACGATGATAAAGAAGAGGCATGAGGAGGGGGAGAGAAGGGTGAAGATACACAATTCTAGAACTTGGTTTTTTTAAAAAACCTTAGCAGCAAAATCTCTCTCTCCAATTTGATTCCCTGCCCCTGTGAAGTTAGGCCAACACCACAGCCCACGATTTTGCAAGATAAAGCCAAAGAGCTTGTCCAGGTGCTCACACAGATACGTTTGAACACACTGACCCTGGAGCCCCCAAACTCTTTCCTGAAAATTAATCTGCCCTGCAGATGTATCCACCGGTTGCCTTATCCTCAGACAAACCTGAGGGGAGGAAGGGGGAACAAGGAGAGGTCAGACGGTGCAGATGAATTTTCAGAGTGCCAGGATGCTACTAACAGCCACCTCGCTTTGCATGGCCAAATAAAAGAGGAGAATCAAAGGAGATCAAGGCTTAGTCATTCCCTTAAAGAATCCATCCCAAATCTTGAAAGCATGCCCAAGCAGCCTTCTTTAAAGCATTCTTTGCAGTGTAGACCTCATTCCTCTGGGGGGTTGGGGGGACAGTCAAGGCTCCCCTTTCTCTTGTCTCGGTTCCCCTCTACCCTGTGCTGCCTCTCTCTGTGTGTCCACCATGTGTGCGTGTGTCTCTCTTCAGAACGGATTTTGTTTGTACTGGGTGCAATTCCTGTCGCTTCCTTCAAGGTCTGTTTTCTAGCCCCGTGGTTGGGAGATAATTCCTCCCTCAGTCCCACCTTATCACTCACTGCACACACGAACCCCTGCCGGGAGGGAGAAAATCCTTCCTTTTTGCTTCTCAAAGTTGCAGCCTTTGGTCTTTGCAGTGCGGAAGAATCTCATTATGGACAACGTGACAGGCAGGCGGCAGTGGGCGGTGTCGCCTTCGCGGCCGTGGGATGAGATTTCTGTGTAACAAATGAGGGGGGCCCTTCGGAATGACTCGGAAGCTCCACACCGGGTTCCCTCACTTTAAGGAAACCCACTGTATGGAAAAGGCAGGGTAATAAACAACAAAAGTCAAGCTAGGAAGGGTGATTCCCACTGGCCAAGGGCCCTCTCCGTGTCCCAAAGGGTTCTCCTTAAGGCCCTTTAGATGAGCTGGCAACCTCCTACCCAATCCGGTGCCCCATCCCTCTTTCCTGCTTTAATTTTCTCCATAACACTTGCCAGTATCTTGCTTACTGCCTGTTTTTCTTTTTAAAATCTCATTGATGCTAGTGGTGCCCGTGGCTCAGTGAGTAGGGCGCCAACCCCATATACCGAGGGTGGCAGGTTCAAACCCGGCCCCGGCCAAACTGCAACAAAAAATAGCCGAGCATTATAGCGGGCGCCTGTAGTCCCAGCTACTCGGGAGGCTGAGGCAAGAGAATCACTTAAGCCCAGGAGTTGGAGGTTGCTGTGAGTTGTGACGTCACAGCACTCTACTGAGGGAGGTAAGGTCAGACTCTGTCTCTTAAAAAAGAAAAAAATCTCATCCATGGTCTGTCTCCCACTAGAATGTAAGCACTATAAGGGCTGGGATGATTGTCATTTGGCGGGGTAGGAGGTTGCCCTGTCCTACCCTTGTGGGTGACAGTGAAGCAGAGAGTCAAGAGGGAGGGGTCTGGGAGGAAAGGCTTCACGAAAAGAGGACAGCAATGGCAAAGGCGTGACATGTTCTGGAACGGTAAGGCCAGTGTGGCCGGAGCAGGGAGAAGAACAGAGATGGCCAGATAGGGCTTTGCAATGACTTTGATCTTGACTCCAGGAGAGACGGGTCCACCTGCGAGGGGTTTCAGGACAGGGGTGGCATGATCTGACTTTACTGCAGTATAATTTATGTACCACAAGATCCATCCAATTTAGTTATATAATTCCACAACTTTTAGGAAATGTACAGAAGTGTGTAACCATCCCCACAACCCAATTTTAGAACATTTCCATCACCCCAAAAAGATATCTCATGCCTATGACTTACATTTTAAAGGGATCGCTTTGGCTCCTGTGTTAAGAATAGAAATAAGAGGTAGACGCAAAGAGTGCTGGAAAGAAACGATTTTCACGGCACATGTGAGTGAATGGCAAAAAAGTTCTGAGAGTAGGAGAGTAAAGACGTGGCTGGTGAAGCTTTTCTTTTTTAACCACAGGTTTGGAGCCACCTTAATGCTAAAGTTATAAGTGGATGAAAGGCCTCCGGCTCTGACAGTAAAAGGGTAGTAATCACATCCCGAGAACCGTTTAAAAAGAGAGAGAAATGCAAACGTGAAAGCTGTATGTGTCTGTGGCTTCCAAACTTGAAGATGGTCCCTGCCCTTTTTTACATAAAAAGTCCAAACATTTCTAAAGCTATAGGACTAATGCAATACTTTAAAACTTCACCAGAAAAGCAGGCAACGGCAGTAGGAAGAAACCCAAAACACGTCTTAGCAAACACTCGCCGTCCCTGCAGCAAAAAGGCACTTAGGTCTTTTCACATTAGTTAGTATTAAAATGTGAAGTTCCCATCTCTTTCGTTGGTCTTGAACAGCGAGGACATTCTACACTGAACCCACCTCACGGTCAAGGGACCCTGTGTCTCCATGGAGGAAGGGCCCGTTTGACACTACACGTGGTACCTGAGGGAGGATTTTCTGTATTTTACCTAGAAGGCTGAAATCTGGTGTCCGAACAGAGGGCTTTGACTTTTTTTTCCTTTCCAGCCAGCGTTGTCTGTTTCCTAAGACAGGTTTTCCCTCCCACACCTGCCCATTGCAGGGGACAGCAGGTGGTCCCCAGCTCTGAGCATCCATACAAGAAGGTGATGCTGACTTCCCTCAGCTGACACACCCTGCCATGACTGAGAGCCTGCCCCACCCAGACAGAGGGCACATCCTCTTCCAAACTAAGAGCATACCAGGGTGTGGCAACCGCCTCAGGCTAAAAGGGGGAGTCCTTTAAGCCTGGCTCCAGAGATGGCGACTGCATTTCCACCTCACCGCCCAGCCTGACTTGGTTTGGCTGCCCTCTGGGCTGACTAGCGAGGTTCAACTACTGGTCTCAGTTCTGCTTTCTACTGTCGGTAACAGTTGCTCATTGCCACTTCTGGCCACAAGGGGTCGCAGTCCTCCGGGCGCCGGTGCCCTGGTGGAAAAGCAGCCCCCAGCTCTTCAGCAAGGCGACTCTGTTGGGCAGAGAAGATGCCCTGAATGGCCAGTCTCAGTGACAGCTGCTGAGCTCAATGGTCAGCCCTGGGTCCACAACCACTTGGCACTCTGGGAGCAGCGATAACCCCCATGTCACCACCATGTATGTTGTTATTGCCAACAGCAGAAAGAGTGGCCCCAGGGACTGGTCCCAGACCTTGGGCAAGACCCACCCCCTCTCTGAGCTTCTCATGTCTTCCTTTCCAGAGGGAAGGGTTTGGAATGAAATTGACCTCTAAGGGCCTTTTCAGTCAACAGCCTTACCAACAGCGTAAGCCCCTGAAACATCCTGTTATACAGAGGGACATCTGAGCCATCCCTGCTCTTCTGCTCAAATTCTGAGTTTACTGAAGTGTTAAATCCTTCTGCCAGATTGTCATCTCCCTGGAAGCAAAAGGAGTGAAGTCGGAATTCTGTGCCACTGAATCTCTTAACATCAGCGACAGAGGAGAGCTCAGAGAGCTCAAATTCTTGTTAGCCTGGAACCCCTTACACAGACGAGCTCTGACATGAGAGCCCACGTGGAAAACAGTTGGAAGTGCTCTGGTTAGGGA